TTGTGGTAACTACAACATGAAGAACTGTATTAAAGGGTCTCAGAATTAGGAAGGTTGAGAACCACCATCTTAGAGAAAGATGGGGTTTTAGGCTAGCCAGTCTGACTCAAGAACTCCATCTTTTCCATAGTTCTATTTTGGTTTTCGTCTGCTGCTCTGTAATTTCTACTGTGTTTACTTTTAGTTTATGTGGTGGTCTGGGAAGGAAAAATCCTACTTTAACTTTTTTCTTCACTGTTTTTGGCTTTGTCACATGCATATATTCACATTATTACTAATTATTAAGTTCCAGAACAAACCCATAAATTCTATCACCTATACATAGGAGGATGAAAAATATGCCCTCTTTATTCCACTCCTATATCCTGCTGTTAGCCAACTCTCATTAATTTAACTTCCATATCAACCATGTACTTTTCTGCAGCATAAATATTTTAAAGTAGATAAGTTATATTTTGAGGAATAGTGTCTTTCCTTGGCCATTAATCTACATGATCATATTTTACATTCCTCCTTATTATTACAGCCTGTGCTTTTTCATGTTACTGCTTAACTTGGGTTGATTATTTACCCACTAGTTTGCTGGAGTATGTTTAAGTATCTCTCTTAGAAAAGAAACACCAATCCAGTTCCACGCTATCTGTGATTAATGTTTTAGCTTAGCTTTCTCTCTTCAGTAATCATTCAGCATTGTTTCACTTATTATTTTGCTATCTAATGTTTTGAAAACAAGATTATAGCTAGCATAATTCAGTTTATTCTCTTCCCCTCTTCTTCCGTCATTCTTCTACACCGATCATTACATTAAGAAAATTAAAATTGAAAGACAGATGGGATGTGCATTGAACGTATGACAGGAGTCTACTGAGTGCATCTGAAAGACTCTAACTAGTAGTGCTTTCAAAGCGGATACAAAGACTCATGACCAAACCTTTGGCAGAGTACAGGGAATCATATGAAAGAAGGGGAGTTAGTATGATGGGGAAAGAATAGAAGCTCCACAAGGACCAAATATATCTGGGCACAGGGTCTTTTCTTAGACCATGTATGGATATAACCTAGAACCTCTGCTCAGATGTAGCCTGTGGTAGCTCAGTAACCAATTGGTTTCCCATAGTGAGGGGAACAAGGACTATTTCTAACAGGAACTCAATGACTGGCTCTTTGACCTCCCCACCCCCCAAGGGAGGAGCAGTCCTGTTAGGCCACAGAGGAGGGCTTTGCAGCCAGTCCTGAAGATACCTGATAAAACAGGATCGGATGAATGAGGAGGAGGTCCTCCTCCATCAATGGACTTGGAAAGGGGCACGGTGGAGATGAGGGAGGGAGGGTAGGATTGGGAGGGAATGAGGGAGCAGGATACGGCTGGGATACAGAGTTAATAAAATGTAACTGATAAGAAAAAAATAAAATTAAAAAAAGAAAAGAAAAGAAAATTAAAATTCTAACAAGAATGTGCAGGCAGACTCTCTCTCTTCTCCTCCTCTTCCTCTTCATCTCCCTCTCCCTCCCCTTCCTCTTCCTCTCCTGGGCAAGCGGAATCATCTACAACCCTCTTCAGTGGGGTGACTCTTTTGGCTTATAGTCTCTTCTTCGTTCAGGAAGATTACATTCTATCCATCACTGGCTCTGATCATAATCTTAGTGCTCTGTTTTATTCTTCCAGAAGCTCAATATCCTCAGTATTGACTCTCATCTCTTTTATTTGTTATATTGTCTGTTTTCTGTACATTCTAGTAGTCTTTTCTTACATAATTGAGTATACTTTGCCAAGTTGACTAACTTCTAAAAAGATTACAATTTCTTTGAGGATAGTGATCACGCCTTTGATTTCCACTTACATTCTTCTAGCACATTCTTAGAAACAATAGATCATCATAATTTGATATTCTTAGAGAGATTAGGATAATATGTGGTAATGGAGGCATGTGGTCTAATTAGAAAAAATACAGCAGAATACTTAAAAAGTGGAACACTGAGAGGCTATCTCTAGGAATATACACGACGCACTTGACAAACAAGAACCCAGTGATGGGGTGTAGCTCCAGGGTAAGGCGCTTGCCAGATTGTGCTGAGTCCTGAGTTTGACCCTGAACCCAACAAAATAAAGAAACAGAAAACCCTGAATCCAACACATAAGGAAAAACCCATGTCACATATGCAAATAAAGATAATAGATTAATTAACCAAGGCTCAACTTAATTGATACAAGCTCCATTTTAGGAACTTACTGTCATTATATTATTATAAAATAGTATATGTTGCATAGCTTAAAAAAACATGGTAAACAGAATGTTCAGTGAATGTTTTAGAATAATATTTTATGTTAGAAGTTTGACATTTGACATAAAATTTTCAAATCAATATATAAAATTTCAAATGTTTCTAAACTAGCATAATTTTATAAGATTTTAAAAATATTTTTCTACTTTACATAATAATTTTAAAAAGAATATGACAAATTATGTGGAAAATGAAAAGCAACAAAATATTTTTTAGCCTGAGGTTATGTCTAAGTGGCTGTGTATTTGTGAAGCATGTGTGCCTTGGATTAAAACCTAAATCTCCCTCCAAAAAGACAAAAACAAAATAATAATTTTCTCATAGCACTAAAAATATTTTAAAGTGAAATGTGGCCATTAAACCCTTTCATCTCCTTACTCCTGAGGCTATATTAACATTGACCATTAAATTGGTTAAGGATGTAATAAGAAAAGCTTGAAATGCAGTTGGTCACATGCCACTTTCTGCATCTGAGTGCTCTTTCCACAGTTTTTCTAATGAATTGAGTGTCCATCTAAGTGCCCAGCTTGGTAGAAAAACAGATCCCATGAAGTCAGAAGAGTAACAAGTGGCCAACAGCCAATCCTGACAAAGTAGCTCTGTGGACACTACAATATATCTAGTGAGACTATGGGAAGAGCACTGAATATAACTTTCCTTCTAGCAGACTAAAACAGTTAATTAAACGACTCAAAATTAATGACTTAAGTTTGTAACGCCCACTGTACATACTAATGCTCTATGGTCACAAGGCAGGGAAATCTTCAAGAAGTTATGACTTTAAACTTAAAGAGTCTTTAGAATGTGCTAGACAGAGCAAAAGAACCTCAAGCAGAGAAAGAGAAAAGGATGTGAGAAGAGGCAACATGACAGAGCAGTAAGTGTCTTATTTGGCAAAGCAAAGTCAACATAAAGGCGAACAGAGCAAACGCAGTATGTCTGTCTTCTCAATGGATGTCCAAGTCACATTCTTGCCCACCAGTAAAAAACTCTCAACCTTGAACCTGCCAGATGCTAAAACTCTGAACCTATGAATCATCCTTGATATTTCCATTGCTCTCCATTTTTATCCTATTTATGAGAAAATGCTATCATTCTGTCTCCAAATAGACACTGAAACAACTCGGTCCTCCATATTCAAGCATCACACCTGGAATCTAAATTTCTCACTGGTTGCCTATCTCAACCTCTTAAAATCTGTTCACGTGGCAACTAGAATTCCCTTTACATAGTTTAATCAGGTCACATCACTCCCCTCCAATTGTTTCCCTTCATACTCACAGAAAATTCACTTTTTAAAAAGATTTAGTTGTGTGTGTGTGTGTGTGTGTGTGTGTGTGTGTGTGTGTGTGTGTGTG